CTGTATCCCCATTATTTTTTAGTCCCCAATCTGACCTCAATCTTTGATTTGTTTCCTTGTCACCAAAAGTTCATATCCTCGGCCACGCTTGAAAATAACCAACTGGTTTCCTCCTGCCAGTTGGGGTTTTTAGCGGAGCTCTGGCGCGCAAAGCGCACCTGCGGAGCACCATGGGTAAGTATATCTACCCATCCCAGAAAATTTGGTAATCACGTGACCGTACACTGCCCGCCCGTCCGTCTGCACCACAGGGTAACCAATGTTTAATCTCACACTTTCTAACTAGTTTGCTAGCACAGGAAGACTGATATTGCAATGTTGTGATCAATATTGACAGCTGTCAAAATAGGGTTTCCGCTGATCAGTATCACCTGACCATATCGCGGGCTCAGGTGTCGACCCATCGAGGTCGAGTATCTTTTTGAAGTTATCCGCTGACAAGTTACTAGTTTTTAAGTGATCGCCGGCTCAAGTTTAATTTTTTTAAATTCATATGAAATATGTCGTGTTTTATATGTGCCGCACAATTAAAATTTTGATTTCAAACTGACCTCGGAAGCTAGAATTCAGCCAGTTTTTACAGGCAGGGAAGACATGCCAGTTGCTTTTGACTTTTCTCACCAAGGTCACGCTCTGGTCACGCTCTATGTCCAGTTTTTATGCTGTGATTGGTCAAAATTTGACAGGTGAATTCATGCGGGAAATTTATGCAGCATCTTGAAACTTGTTTACTTTGAGAGCTGAAGCTGACAGAGTTTTGTGTCAGCTTGTGATGTTTTTAACTGTCTTTTTCCACTGGATGTACAAAATGAAATTCTGCTGCTATCAAGAAGCTTCAAGAGTCTTCTGTTATTCACAGCTAGTTTGTTTATTGGGGTTTTGGTCGAGAAATACGTCGCTTGTCAAAGTCGGAAATCTGATTTCGGATGGCATCGTTTTCGTTTTTCACCTTGCTTGATGCGTAAGAGGGTTGAAAAGTCTGAAGCGATTCTGGCCTTACTTGATAGTTTTCAGTGCATCTCGAATGGTAAGCCTGAGTAATTATTGTATTTGGTGTTTGTTTTTATATCCAATTTAATGAAGTCAGCCGGCGCAGTTTATGCGGCTATTTAGTTTATGCACGTTTGTAAGATTTGAGACAATGATCTGACCGAGTATCAGGTTTGATTATAAGCTTATAGAACTTTAAAAAGCCTTTAGACATTTTCTCACCGCAAACAGAAAGAAAACGTTTCAAAGAATATTTAGCTATAATTCTGGCTGTAAAAGAAAAAACTTTTGAGCAATTTTCTTGCCTCGAGTTCATCTTTGAAAAAAGCAAAAACCGGGAAGCCGGCTTAAAACATAAACAAGGATTTTCAGAGACACTTTAATACTTGTCTTCGTAAATGAAAATTGTTGTCTCTGTATATGTTTCACCGAATTATTTTCCTTTTATTGATTTTTAGTGGTCTCTTTTGTAATTTTAATCGCTGTGCCGTTTGTTTTCAGTCGCTCATGAACATCGCTTGCAGGAGTACTCAAAATGCCGCGCGTATCAAACGAAGAAGAATACTCATCGTTATAAAACCATTAAACAAAAAATAAACATAATAAATTCTTTATCACGTTGAAGCGTATAACTCTATTAATCTTGATTTAAACAGTCGACTTTGGCGCTTGTCAAAAGTGAGAAGCGGCTAGCCGTATATGTAGGTGATTTTGGAATTTTTTTTAGTAAAAGCACACGCGTGCTTCGATCGTCCTGAATCTTGAGTGAGTCCGGAGAGTGAGTGCAATTTGTATTGCAAAATTGTGAAATACTGCATTCTGTCCGAGGTCTGTCTGATAAAAACAGCGCCTCATGGTACTGTTTCACCTCAGATGTGATGTATAAAAAGTATAAAAGGCTGGTTTACACGTCCCCAGACTTGTTGGCAAGATTTTGTAAAGTAAATTATAAGCTTGTCGAACGCAAAAAATTCGGCCTGCTTTGTTTTCCAAGAATTTGTTTTCCAGGCCTAATCTACTGTGATCAAGAGCCATTATGGCTGTTAAATGTGATCGAAGGTGATTGCTATTCTTTGGGTGTAGGTATATAAAGGCTTTCAACTCGATCTAAGATTAAGTTCACTCTTAGCTTGGACTGTTTGCAAATTATTTTTCTCTAAAATAACTTAGCCTTTCCCTCAAAAGTCACATGAATGTGCTCTAAAGTTAACTGATTTGTGGAATACAATTGCAAGTTTATTGTTCGATTTAAATTATAAATTCGAGTTAATAGGAGCTTCGCTTTTAGCCNACGCAAAAAATTCGGCCTGCTTTGTTTTCCAAGAATTTGTTTTCCAGGCCTAATCTACTGTGATCAAGAGCCATTATGGCTGTTAAATGTGATCGAAGGTGATTGCTATTCTTTGGGTGTAGGTATATAAAGGCTTTCAACTCGATCTAAGATTAAGTTCACTCTTAGCTTGGACTGTTTGCAAATTATTTTTCTCTAAAATAACTTAGCCTTTCCCTCAAAAGTCACATGAATGTGCTCTAAAGTTAACTGATTTGTGGAATACAATTGCAAGTTTATTGTTCGATTTAAATTATAAATTCGAGTTAATAGGAGCTTCGCTTTTAGCCCTGGCTAAATCTATATATTAATGCTGTTAGGTTCTATCCACCAAAAACAGACGACAAAATAGGAGCTTTGCTATTTTAGTGATGGCGTTACGAAGACATCGAATGCTGTCTGCAACACAGTATGTGACGGCGTTTGGTCCTGTTTAAATACAGATCTTAAACCTGGGCAATACCTGCATGCGTGACAATTTGGCATTACGTCTAGAAAACCGTGAGTTAGAGCTTAATGCTTAAATCATGCTGCAGAAATTATAGTATTAAAGCTTAATCTTGGATACAACTCTTAAGAACAAAAGCTTATAGAGAGTGCTCTTACCTCACTGCCTCCTGTTCCCGGTGCAGGTCCTTCCCAGCCAGGTGGTGGACCTCCGTATTTTCTCTGTCCCGCGGTGATATCTAACGTGTAGCCAGTTCTTTCTAGAAGCGCTTTGATCTTCGCTTCCTCCGCATTCGAAGGTGTATTCGTTGCTGTGGTGTCGCCACCGGTGGAAGATTTTGTCACGTAAGTTTTCATCACACCACAGAGAAAAGCGCTCTTGTTTTGCACATGAGACAGATCACTATTTGCAAACTGATCTAGCACTTCCAAAGCACCCTGCTCATTGAATTCACGTAGAGCTTCGAACGCTCTGTCGTCAAGTTCCTCGGGGGAAAGAAGCCCAGAAGCAAAGATTTCCGACACGCGCTGAGCGACGCTTGCAGCGAGACCTTGATCAACGAGGAGTTGTGGCTCCATTGTGGCACATGAAATGAGTAAAAACGTTTAAAAAATAGGATATTAATGCACTAAAACAACCTGACGCCAAAACTCCCGATGCAAACGAATAATTCGACGATAAAACTGACGCCTAGGAACAACGTGCTTTCAGATCAATTTTTTTTCGGGGTGGACCGGGGACTCTTTGAGGGGCTGCATCGAAAATGTTCCACACCTCTACCCCCACAGAAAACTCATCGCACTCACCAGGAACGGCAGTAAGCAAGTAACGCTGTTTCCCCATAAGGTATCTTTGTTCGTAATATTTTAAATCAGAGGACCTTAAAATACTTAAAAGGCAGATTACCTTACCCTTTTACATACCTCAACTCCTGAAATTCCTACCCTTTCATCATATTTTTAGACACATTTTAGGGCACTTTTTCCTTCTCGAAAATAGCATCTACAGTTCTCCTCCATGTCTATGAGCGCATTCGAAGTATAAGATATCAAAAATGAAAACTAAACGTTACTAAACGGCAAAAAATATCATTTTTAGGTCTGTAAGGTTTCCTGACTGGTTTGTGGAATTTAAAAAAAAAACCGTTCTAATAAGCCACCGGGGGGGGTGGGGGGAGTAGTGCCATATATGGGCTATATAGGTATGTGCCGCTGTGAAATCAGAGCGTGTGGATCTAGGATAGGGTATCATTTGTCATAAAACTGATCAGTTGGTTGAAGATTTTATCTAGACTAGGGATTGTGGTATAAGGTTTTGTTTTGGCTAGACTGTACTAGTGAATTCAGTAGTTTCCGGAAAACAGCTACTCTAGGATAGGGGGATTAGGGGAGTTTACTCTAGTATAGGGTAACAAAATTCAGCTGAACTAGCTAGAAATTCCTAAGGTAGGACTTGTACAAATCTGAAAATTATCTGACTATTCTGTGTCACTTTTAAACCCAAAAAAGGATTTTTTTAGGTGCCAAAATATATACCATTAACTAAGTTTTAATAATCAGTTAATAATATTATTAATTTGGGCTTAAGAATGGTATTGTTCAGGCAAAATAATGTCTCCAAATGGCATTTACTGTATTCACAAGTGTATACGGTAACTTATAATCCATAACATCCATGTCATTTCTTCAGTATCAGTTTTCTCTGATCACCAACTTGGCCACTATTTTCTGAATCAAGTCGCCAGTACCAAAATTTTAGTCGCAATGGTGCCTAAAGTGGTCGCAGCTTAGGGGGTTGTTGTCACTAAGATTTCAAGTTGCCAGGTAAATACAACAAGTAGGCAGGGAATGAAACAGATTGGGATTTCTTTTGGTTCTATATTTCTTCTATTTTCCTCTGAAAGTAGCCAGATGCCACGTTCATGGTAACTGTGGGAAATCCCTGGCCCCCAACTCTTAATGAGAACCCTGAATGATAGACTGTATTAATTTATGACAACTGTTACCATAATTATTCATGTCGACTAATCTGGTAGGGTTTATTGAATGATGTGCTGGAAGTTCAGATTTGTTTTGAAAACAGTTTAATGACCTGTTTTGATAAATTGAATGAGACCCCTCCCTCAAATAAGCCCTGCTCAAATGGGCTTGATATAAATAGGCTCCTAGGGGTTTTAATAGAATATTAATTTTACAATATTCTCATGTGCAGAGACTGACTGGACAGTCTTGATTACACCAGGAATTCGTCTGGGGGAAGAAGTTCAGGTATTTCATTGAAGCCTGGGATAAAAAACTTCCACCACTTTTCCCTTCTGTACAACAACAGTTTCCTTAGCAGCAGTTTCTTTTTTCGTAAACCCCTGTCTATTAAAATGTTTTTCAAAAATTCCCTTAAGCTGAGCTTCTGACAAAGTTTGAGAAAGTCAATCATCGACATGTCAATGACAAGAAGAAAGGTATGGAAACAAAGCATCACAAAGATAAACAACAGCACGAAGATGACAACAAGGAACATGACGGCATAATCACCGAGTTCAGTGCAGACTTTAGGATTGTAAAAAGATGATCTATAGTTCAACATACAGGCCATAAATGGAGTGTAAGTACAGTAAGCGGCGAACACAAGGCCCAACGAACAATGCAGCACAAATAAATAGAAGTAAGCGAAGTTGTTCAAACCAACGCAATTATTAGTGAAGGGGCAGTGATGTGACATCAGCATAACGCAAGAGTCACAAGAGCTGCAGTGATGCGTTCCACGGTCTCTAACACGCGAACACTTGCCACAAAATTTCAGCGATTCAGTGTCGATGTCTGTGTCTTCTTCGAGTTCTTGACGCGTTTCTGGATATCCCGGGGAAATAATCATGGCTGCCAAATAGTTGAATACCATGTTAAGCCAAAGGTAACTCGCAATTAAAGCATAACAAATGCCTTCGAACGAGGTGAATGGCTTGGCAACGAGGATAGGCAAAATCACCATGAAGAAAAACCAAATTGACGAGGCAAATATGAATAACACAGGAGTTATCTGCAATGCTTTGAGAAGTCTATAAAGCCACGTTTTCTTTGAACCACGGGGGAACAGAGTTTGTAAGCTGGTGATTATAAAAACGCCTTGGATTAGTCCCACCGACAAGATTATAATCCACACAAACGCCATTTTGAAACTCACGCGGAAGAGCCTGGAAAGGATCAAACAGATAAACAGAATTCATCCCCAGATTCTTCGCAGTGTTTGGAAACGAGGTAAATTTCCTGGTCACCAGGCGCACTCCTTTGGCAAGCAGCGTCCAAAATGGCGGTAATTGTGGTGACTTTCTTTGTAACGACTGCAGTCGTTGTTTTTGGCGTACTTTCATTCCAGATCCTTCCAAGGCTATTTCCAAAGCTCAAGACCTTCTTGCCGTCGCAAGCTGTTATAAGCTACTTCCAGCTTGTGCCAATCAGCGTTATTTTTCCGACTTTGTTATGGTTGTTCTTCAGTGTTTATCTTCACGCTCATGTCCCCGATCAGCCGTACTCTTCGTTGCTAGGGTGGGTACACATCTTCATCACCAACTACATGATGGCGAACGCTGTTTTTAACTACTACATGACCGTCTTCACGTGCCCGGGATATCCACAACGCCAGGATGAGTTCACCCGAGACAGACTTTTCGTGAAAACGTATCAAATGTGTATCAAATGTAAGCGTGTACGAAATGCAGGAACACACCACTGTAGCTGGTGCCATACGTGTGTGGAAATGATGTGTCACCATTGTCCTTTCACCAACAACTGCATTGGGCGCAGAAATTACGTTTACTACTACACATTCCTGACATATGCCTTCTTCGGACTGTTATATGCATGTTACCTCGCCTACTTCCCATTCGTAAATTGCATGTCCGGCCTTGTAGTTCGCAAAATTCAAGAAACCATGTCTTTTCTGCCCCAACTGAGCGCTCTCCGCGAGGCAGGGATAGTTCGCTTTAATATGTACGAAGATTTAACTGTTCCTGAAGGCTGCCAGTTTGTGCAGGAGTATGCTGTACTCTTTGCTCCCTGTGTAGGAATCACTTGCTTCATGGGGCTTTTGTTTGGTTTTCAAACGTTCCTTCTTCTTGCTGATATGTCCATTGTTGATTTCTATGAAAGCCTCTCCAATGCCACCTCTTTGCAGGAGCTTCTCCGAATCTTTCACGTCAGCATATTCAAAAGAAAGAAGTTTCGCTTTAAGAACTTAGTCCTTGGGAAGAAGAGTCATGCGTGGATGTTTTTTGTACCTTTCCCCAATAATGTGGAGAGTGATTTGCCATTGAAGGACTTGTGAAATGGACGACCAATCCAGATGCATCCTAGCCAAGAGTTTCTATGATAACAGCATGGTTTATTTTTCTTTTGTATTCCCTTTTGTGAGAGATGTTTTTCCTTCCTAAAACCATTTTCCTAAGAAATAATAATTTATTTTTGATTTGCCAACCCCCCACCCCTGGGACAAGGCCACTTGAAATTATCATTCCCCATGCGTGACTCACACTCTCTTATTCCGACTCATTTAATTTGTCAAATGTTGGCGATTTTTCAGGAGTTGAATTCTAAAGGACCGTATCTAAGTTCTCAAAAACAAAAAGAAAATAGTTGTCTGCGTGTTCACATCCTCCATTAAACGTGAAATTAGGCAGTTTCACAATGCAGTCGGCAGTGACGGTAAAGAAACATACAAAAAAGCATGATGCACGTGCAAAGTTGTTTTGGCAATCTCAACCTATTGCTTTTTTGCCATCCTTGTTGACATTGTCATCATTGTTACTTAAACTACCTATTGAGGAAAGGGAGGGACACGTCATTTACAGAGTCACTTTGATTTTTTTTTGTGAAATGCTCATACCATGATCTTATAAGAAAACCCTGTTATTGGATATGTTGTAAATCCCGATGTGTATATTTCTCTATAGCATCACCTTGTTAATACTGTCCAGTTAAGGCAAAACGTCAATTTCAAAGTGCAGGCAAGTGGCAAAAGGAAAATAATTTATCTTTTTCTAAACAGTGTCTCTTATATGAATTTTTTCACTTCTAATGTAGCCATTGCCTATGTAATAGCACCCTCACAATAAAAACAAGAGAAGTGACCAGCTATGAAATATGACCCTAGCCCACTAAAATGGCAACCTCTGAGTGAAGTCTCAACAAGACTTTATGAGCTCCATGTGTGTGGAAAGAAAATGATGACTTTGTGGGGTAATTCACCATGTTGAGTAGCATCAGCCTTTTAATACAAGAATCATTGTATTTCATTCAAATTATTTCTTCTTTTCAGAATGGCTTAAACTCTTATAGTTAGTTAGTCATAGCTGTGAGCTACGTATACAGCTAAGCAACTAATCTGCCACAGCTTTCTACCTTAGCAGATAACACCCTCACCAATCTGCATAATTCTTTGTATCATATTTAGTCTCATCCAATAATAATAATAATAATAATATTTATGTTTATTATTTAAAATCATGTTGGTCTATATTTAAGTCGCATTATCTGTAGCATAATGGCAAGCTTTACACAATATTTAAGCTGAATAATATGTAGCAAAGGAATTTCTAATACAGATACAAGTGTCATTTACCATGTGTTAATATTTATTTTAGACTATGTTAAGCAAATGTAGCTTGTAAAATACAGGCCCTAGTTGTTCAAAAGTTGAATAGCGCTTATCCACAGGATTTTCCAACCAGTGAATAAAATGTTAGAGAAAACAATAACATGTTATCTAGTGAATAGTGATTCATCCGGTGGAGAGCATTATCCATAGACAATGCTTTTGGGCATAATTTTTCCTTCTGTAAAGCATGGTTTTTTGATGTAGCGTCACAGGAAAATTAAGTTTATCAATACTATTTATTTAGCTTTGAAATAGTTTCATGTTGAAAATCAGGGTATTATTGGTGGGTGAACACAGTTTTGGCAGTTTGTGAGTATATGTCATTTGCCAAATCATGGCAAGAGAAACGTGGCAGCTCACAAGCTGAAACTTGGCAAGTGAAAAATATACTGAGGAAAGATTTTGATTGACAGGTAAAATTTGACATTTTCGTAGTTTCCATGGCAACATGAACGATTGATTTCACTTTTTCTCTCTTTACATAAAATTCGCTCATTAGATTTTCCTATAAACTTGCACACAGCTTACTATAATTATTAATCATTCGCATTTGAAATTTATTTGACCAAATTTTAACAGACAAATTTTTAGATAATAATATAATTGTACTGTAATTATTAATTGTGTCACAAAATTCGTCTGTTCAACTTCCATTTTAAAGTTCTCATTATAAAAATTTTGCCAAATATCACAAAATTTTAAAGGGTAGATTTTGAGAAATCGTCTTCTAAGTACATTGCTTTTTTCGCCCCCATGTTTGTTTGTGTAATTTAAAACGCGCTCCCGCTGACCGCCCGCAAAACTGTCTTTGGCCACATTAAGGAAGCATCTGGCTGCACATAAGAAAAAAACGTTTGGTACAAAGGGTAGTGTATTGGTAGTAATGTAGAAAAAACAAAGTGAAATAAAAAGATGTTATCTTCACTTTTGGCCTGAGATGGGATATATACTGGTAACTTAACTCCACTCATTCACCTGGGCCGGGTTGTTCGAAACTGGGTTAAGATAACCGAGGGTTAGCGCGAAATTTGAACTCAGATATGAGAGCTTAAAAAGCAAATTCAGTGTAATTCTCTTTGCCTACAATTTGATAATTGGATACTCTAAAAAGAATAGAGGAAATTATCCGAGAGAGTGCTTTTGATAAAAAGATAAGGAATTCCGGGTTAAAATTTAACCCCAGGTTAGCGCTAACCGGCGTTTGAACAACTGGGCCCTGACATATAGGATAAGTAAAGTGAAGAAAAACTTTTTTTCAACAGGGTGCTCCATTTAGCACTGGGGCTGGTCTCCGTAGGGGCCCTGCATCTTAAAAACTACTTTACTTTAAGGAATTGTATAATAATTTTACTACATTAATTTTTAAGAAGCCCAAAATACAATAACAGTATTTAAACCTTTAAAAAACCTAAAAAACAATACAAAACTATACAAAAAAATTATGATGAGAAAATGCCTTCCTCAGCAGCAGAAAGTCTGTACGCCCTCAGTTCATGGAAAATTTTCCGCCTTCTCCCGTTATGTTTGATGGTAGTCTGTCCTGTAGTATCGTTATGAATGTTTGAAAACCTAGTAAAATATGAAAAAAAAAAACAAACCAAAAAAAAAACTAAGAAAAGCCTCAAACAATTTTTTTCAAGTACTCCTCCTTCTCTGAGAGCCTTTCTACTTTAGACAAAAGTTTTCTATTCTGAATAATAATAATGAAAAAAAATGGTGACCTCTGTTGCACCCCAGCTTTTTTTCCAATGTTTACATCTTTGTTTTGTTATATTTTGACTTTTGGACTATTTTAGTTCATGGGAGTTTCGACGACTGATCCCATTTTGTCCATGTTTAATATTGACACACGCTACGTCTCGGCCGCCTGTGTTTTGAGCGACGCACGTCAACCGGAAGTGGAGCTTCTTACCTCACCAGATCTTCATTACACTTCCGGATAACGTGACGGCTCTGTCCTATATAATCGCGTGACCTCGTTGTTGAAATGGGCGATCAACATCAGCTGGTCACGTATGCTAACTGTTTAGCGCGCAATGGTCAAAATATCGCTTAGTGATTGGCTACTTCCATGTTAGCTATTCAAGTGAACAGGTTTCTGATACATAAATATTGCGACAGAAATAAGAATAGTGATAAAGGTCACTTAAAAAGATGGAGGTTCAAAGTTTACTGTAAAATCTCCGCCGAGAAGTATTTTGTAGTCAGTGCGAGAAGACGTTTACTGATCTTAAACAATTGCCCTGCTTGCACAGCTTTTGTCTTCACTGTCTCACCAAACTGCAGGAAGAAAGCGAAAGTCGTGACCTAATTATCTGCCCTGAGTGCCTCAAACAGTTCAAACCTCCTGCGAGTGAGATCTCAAAGATTTACCCACGAACGCTCGAATCAATAGTTTATTGGATGCAATCGCTAAGGTAAAGAGAAACGCCTCCGAAAGAAAGTGTGGAAATTGCAACAAAAACTCGTGTTGGTATTGCTTACAATGTGCCACGTTCTTGTGTGGAGATTGTATTGGTTTTCATAACAAAGACAAAGCTAAAGAAAAACATCACGTCATGGCCTCATTCAAAGACAAAGACCCTGAAACACTGCAGCAAGCAGCGAGACAGCTCAGCCCCGTGCTATGTTTTGGAGAGATCGGCTTCATGGGACTCCCAGAACTGGAAGACACCTCTGGAAAGTTTATGCTTCCCTGGGGCGTTGCAGTGAATGAAGAAGATGAAATAGCCGTCACCGATAGTGGGCACAATAGAGTTCAGGTATTTAGGAGTGATGGCTCTCACTTGATCACGTTATCACGGTAACATTATTGTTGCTGACACAGGCAACAAGCTGATTAAGTTCTTTACTCCAAGTGGTGAATTTATCCGCAAAATAGGCGGGGACGGGATACTGGATAATGCCCATTACTGTGTTCAACAGGGCAAACACTTTATTGTGTCAGACATAGATCACTGCATAAAAATATTTGACCTCAAGGGAAATTATTTATACAAATTTGGTAAGAAAGGGGAAGGAGATGGGGATTTCAAATCACCTCGTGGCTTGTTAGTGACCCAGGCTGGCCAACTGGCTGTCTGTGATTCAGAGAATCATTGTGTTCAAGTCCCGGGGGGGGTACTCCCGCCAATTTTGGATAGGGGTGTGCCGCGAAGGTTCGTGAACCCTACCCCTATTTAAGGACTAAGAAAGCGAAAACGGATACCCTTTTTAAGGGCCAAAGCCGTAAAATGACACCTACACCCAACAAAAGACAAACCCCACAGACAAAAAAAAAAAAGGGAAAAAAAGAAAACCTTTTTAAGAGACTGAAACCCCAAAAAACCCAACCCCCTCCCCCGCCCCGTACTTATTTACCCCATAAAGGGGGGACCCCCCCCCCCCCCCCCGGGGTTCAAGTTTTCAAGCAGAACGGAAAGTTTTTCACAAAGTTTGGCAAGAATGGTAGTGAGATAGGAGATTTGTATTACCCAACCTCATTAGCAGCTTTAAGCGATGGAAAAATAGTCATAGCTGATATGTACAATAATCGCATTCAAATATTCAAGTAGACAAAAGCCCTAATCCTGCTGTGACAGCATTTATTGCAGATTGTCATATTCACACTAGCCTGTTCCAGGCATTCAGGTAGTGGAGAGCAGTGCAAAGTCAGAGAGTGGGGAAAAAATTAAGAAGAAAGAGAGGGAGAGAGAGAGGTCCCCTTGCTCTCATCCCTTATCCCACCCCCTCACTGTTTTTTGCTCTGCTGACATCTCTTTGCACTGTCCCCATGATCTGAATGCCTGGAACCAGCTATCGAGGAGCATAAATAATAAGAGAAAAGGAAATATTATAATACAAAAATATTGAGAGATATAGTACAGTGACAGTGGATCAAGGTCTTGAGGAAGGAGACTCTGAGAGGGAGGGTTCCACTACCATTTTTCTCAATGCCTCAGCATTGTGGACTTGGCTTTGGCTGAAAATTTACCATGTACCGGTAAGTCCTAAGAGTCAGTAACATTAATTCCTCCTAATAATATCAATACATAATCAAGTAGGAAGGTTACGAGAATTGATGAAATGATCATCAAAAGGAAAATTCTTTTATCTGTTAATAACATTTTCTCAACTAACTTTTCAATTTGTATGTGGATACTCGGGATTGAAGGGTTAAAAGGACAGCTGGAAGGATGGTCTTAGTATCCCAGGGTCCTCCTCAAGACCTGCCACTGTCATATCAAAAGTGAGTTATAAAATATATTCAAAAAATATCACAATAAGCTATCCTAATATTTTTATAAGGACATGTAATTTTGTGTGTCATTGACATGTCTATATTTGAGCCTAGTAAGCTATCAACAGAATTATTTATCTACCTATAAATCTATTATTCTATCAATATACAGTTGAAACTTTCTCTTAATGGACACTTCCACACAGCAGCTATTTTTTATTTAACCCTGTAGGGTGTGACTAAGTCTGAGGGTCTTCCTTTACACGGAAAGTGGGCAGCAAAAGTCAAGGTTACTTTTCTGCTCTGGAAGGTGTCCACTTACGGAAGCTTTCACTGTATACCCAAAATAAAAGAAATAGCAACTATGGCAAAAGGCAGCAAGGAAAGTCCACAAATTAAACAATGGGTATCTTACAAAACAACATTGACAATATTAAGCATCTAAATCACTTCTCTACTTATATAATATTATTGTTATGTCTACGAATATTTATTCTTGACTTTGGAAGTAATAATATTTTTGTAGAAAAATCTTAATGATGCTTATTAATAATTAGACCTTGCCTAATTAGATTTTACTATTAACGTTAAGTAAGTAAGGATGCATATGTATAATCTATGGCTACTACTTGACATAGGATTAACAATAATAAATTAAAGGATATTTTAATGTTCAGCTGTGTTTATTGTTTGATTGTAACATTATTAGCTGAGGTAATGGGATTGGGAATGGGGTTTTGCTCAAGAAGATGAGATAGCCTTTCTTGCCCTTGTTAGAACACCAGAAGCAACACGAACAACCCGTTTTTTTCTCATCTAAAGTTTTGAGAGAGGGACAATAAATTTAAAACTGTGTATGACAAGGCTATAACAGAATGGCACCCTTGACTTTTTTGTTTACTACATGTATCTATTTTCAAAATCTTTGTAAACAAAATTACATTCATATTATAAATCAATCAACTACTGCAATCCTCAAGTCCATACTTTTCACTGAGAACATTAACAATCTGGTTGTAGGCACTGGAAAACAGGCAAAACACAATTATTGAACTGGATGTAAACCAATATCTTATCCATAATTTCTATGGTTTAATACAATATTCTATGGCTTATACAACAGCAACATATTTTCAATAGTGAGATGTGTTCGATCTTTCTTCTCAAGTTTGGCCCTTGTCAGGAGCTGCCCTTATACAGCAGCCCTTCAATATAGTTTTCTTCCTCCTACTATGCAAGGTTTCAAGGCTTTTTGCTTTCTTTAGTCTTGTATCAATAAAAAATGTGTCTGTAGCCTTCTTTTCCAAGACCCAGGCCTAAATAAGGACACCATGGCACGTTACATTGGTGTCTGTATTAACCCATTCGCCCCTGAGCTGCCTGTGTCCATGTACTCTCTACCACTGCTTGTGACATCATCAGTTTTAATGGTCAAGGACAACTTTGTACGCTAACGTGTGCTGAGTGAAGAGATCTTTCAAACCATACCAGATTGAGCACAATTCAGTCAAGGACACCGGAGAAAGAAGCAAAAAACCATGTAACACTGACCTGAAAATTGCCATGAAAATCTTGTTCCACTACCCACCTACCTTTTCTTTCACCTAATCCTAAGATCCTAAAAGCTTTCCTAAAAACTTTTCCCACCAAAATAAAGCCTACTAAATGCCCAGCAAAAGAAAAAAAATGAGGCAAGAAAAGCGAAAAAAGAGGGGAGGAGAGAAAGCGAAAAGTAAAAGTCAAGACTGCTGTGTCACTTTTAAACCCAAAAACTATCTCGCAATTTTGCTTTCTGCGCATGCCCGAACCTCACAAGCTGATATTTTGCAACTGGATCAGAAGGCCGCGAAGTGTATGACCTGCAAATGGATTTGTGGTAAGTTTTAGCTCTCAACAGCACGACGGTGACCAGAAAACCACTTGACAAGCTTCAAAAGGCATTTTTCGGCAAAATCTTTAGGAGCGAATGAGTTAACTGGGTCCCACTGTATTTAGAATAATCATTATTATTATTCACTCAAAATATTTGCCCGATTCTGATTGGCTAAAAGCACACACATAATTCACCATAACCAGTTGCTGATGACCAAATTTGGAAGAATTTTGTGTTTAGCGAGGAAATGACGTCAAAAATGCAGCGTTTTTGCAGGCTAATGCACTGTTAAACGAGAAGACCTGGGGATGAGGTTGAGTTGTTTTGGTTGTGGAAACAAAAACGGAGGACATTTCACTCATTTCTAGAGTAAGAACTAGGCAAAATAATAGCTAAAAACATGGCAACAACAGGCTGCAAGAAGACAACTCGAAGGGTGACATCTGCTATTTGGAGAATATTAAATTTTGCGGAGCTGAACAACCCTAAACGTGCACTATCGAAGATGAACTTAACATCGATGGATCGATGGAGGTAAGCATGTTTTAGCCTTTTTTTTAAACTAGGAATTATTTTGAACGAATTATAAAACAATTATTGAATTCGGCTTTCGTATCATATGAAGAATTATGGAGATCTTGGAGGGTGTTATCCGCCTCGGCCTATGACCTCGATGGATAACACCCTCCTCGATCTCCATAATTCTTCATAAGATACTCAGCCTCATTCATTAATTGTTAAATAATTCATTATTGTCCACAGAATAGGCCACTTCTGAGTTCCGAAAACCCTCACTTTCAAAACGAGGCCAAGTACGAAACCTTTCTTGAGCAAATGAGTCTTATTTGCATGACAATGAAAAATCACTTTCATATCAAAGGCTGAGCACTTAACCTCATTTTGATACAGAGGCCCAGGGAAACTCAGAAATGGCCTATTAAAGGAGGTTTTTAAGTTCAGAGAGAGATAGTAAAGTTGACCATCACAAAACTTTGAATTTGGTCATAATATTTGACATCATTATTTTTAAATTTTATAGAAAGATTATGTTGTGAAAATGTTATTCAGAAGACTGTATTAAACTGTAAATTGTATGTATCATGCAAAGCCATGTACAGCTGTATGATAATGAAGTACATAAGTAAACATCACACAATATTATTACAATGTTCAGCTTAGTACCTTCCTTCTCTGATTATTGTAAATTTGCCAGGAACTGATAAATTAACCACAGTTGAGCCTTTGCGACATTGTTCAGTCAGACCTATCACGCCACCATCAAGGATTAGATCCAGGTTGGACCAAATATCTTTGAACTCCTGGAAGGTAATTTTCAAATTATCATCTAGTTTTATAGTAAGCTCTCTCTACTGTGGACACCTTTAGGACCAGCACTATATATCCATCTTGGAGAGATAATTATTTGTCTTACATAGAATCAACAATAAAATTTATTGAGATGGGCTTGCATGGTGTGCAGACAACTTTCTTAACAGCTAAAAAGAGAGTTTTGCAAGCAGATTAATAACCTATAATAGCCTGATCTTATTTTAGTATAATTTGTGTGGTTACTATTTAATAGTAACCACACAAATTATACTAAAATAAGATCAGGCTATTATAGGTTATTAATCTGCTTGCAAAACTCTCTTTTTAGCTGTTAAGAAAGTTGTCTGCACACCATGCAAGCCCATCTCTCTCTGTTGGAATCACAGAATTGAGAAACCCATGTGCTTTTTCCATATAAAGTTTTACTGTTGTTTGTAGTAGTCAATTATAAAATATTGTTACATTTTATCAAATTCAAGCATAAGGTTTATTTACAGCAACCTAAAACCCATTTTACCTCTCCTAATATTCTTCCCTTGTTATTAAAGTAATAGAAAATGTTAGTCAACTAACCTCAATTTTTAAACTGCTTTGTCCTACTGTGCTGACATTTGCACTTGTCAGAGCAAGTGGTTCATCGCAAGCTAAGCACAGCTGCCGTACAAAATCATGATCTGGAATTCTAATTCCAACAAGACGTGTGGTGGGGTTTAATCCTGGATTCAATTGATCTGTTCTTTCAAACACAAGAGTCACAGGGCCAGGAAGTAAATCTTGAAGAGCCTCAGGACTAATGGTTACTTTTCCCCACCTGAAAACATTAGTGAGAGACAACACAATTACACCTTAAAGTCTGTATGTTGTTTAGACTAGTTACATGCACGTGGTCAGCATCTAAGGATGAATCTGAAAAATTTAAAAACAATTAACATTAACCTTTTCACTGCAATAGTGAAGAATGGTGTCTGGTGGATCGGAGTCTGAACATAACTTTTGAGTCCGTGGATGGTCAAAATTTTATACATGACCACTGAAATGAAACCCTTTTTGGCAACAATTTCACATGGTACTTGCTTTCGGCCACTATCGGGAGCAAAAGGGTCAACTTCTGTGTGTAAATATCTTAACAAAAGTGGTAAATTATAACCTCAGAAGTGAATAAACAGGATGTAATATACAGTGTACGTTCGATTAAATGAACAAAACAAAGACCTTAATATCACAAACGATATTCTTCACCACAGTATAGGCATTTTTAATTAATTATTATTATAGAGAAAAACTTGACAAAACGAAACCTTGTTATATAGAGAACATATTTTGCCAGTCCCCTGGTTCTTTGTTATTTTGGGATTACACCGATATTGTCATGTCACAAATGTGTGAGCAAGAAATTACAAATAAAAATAATCTTGAGTCCTGAACATGTCAATTAAACCTTTACAACCTTTACCTTGTAGATGCCATGGAGGCTTCAGAAGAGCAATAAATTAAAATAGTACTGGTAATTTCAATCATTTTTACAAAAACTTGATCATTTATTTTGTGTAAGGCCCCTTTCAAACTTCAAACTTTTTTCGCACAGAACTAATTCCTGTTTGCACGGGTTGTCCTAATGATAAAGTTCAAAAGTTAATTCAGTTTAGTCAGACCCAATTAATTATCACACTCTACTATCCTTACCAGTCAAAATAAATTTGATTAATTTATGCATTAGATTTGGCACAAGTTCATGCTTTGAAATGAAGTTGCACCACAGTCAAAATTCCGATGTTGGCCACTCAAACTCAGATAAGATATGTTGGCCTTACTGATACAACAGAGTGCAAAGAAAGAATTGTCCAATAGCCCGCGGCTAGTGGATTTTACTGCCAGGCAAGTGAATTCTGTTGTTAACTTACCCAATGGGCAAGTGAAGTTTCCAGGGAAATTCAAATTGCAGAAGAACTGTTATCACTCCTGCACATAAAAAAAATATTTCAGGCTAGGTAAAATAGCTTTGGGGCTAGTACATGCTACCTGCAGCTTACCATCAAGCTGTAAAACTGATTTTTCTTTGCACCCTGTACAAACGTCAGTCTTTTTATGTACGTAACAGAAGGAATTAGGTTCAGTACATAGACAGTTTTGAAGTTTGAACTGGGCCGTAAGAATATTTTTGTACCTGGGGCTACCAAGCTAACTCAAATGGTAAACAAATCAAGTTAGCCTGTTATCCCAGCTTAATTTACTCTAGCAACCGTATTTATCTCATCAGCTAATTTATAACACTGACAAGAAGATTGAGATTGCAATAAAGGCATGAATTTTTTGAACCCCTGAATAAAGTTTCTATTATTTTACTTTGTTACGTTATATTAATTTTGTTAATCCAGGTTTAGGTACCCTTGTTTACATTGAATTCTTAACTTACTTGTGAACATCTTCCAGTCTTCCAACACAGATAGCAACAGGCTTCTCTTCATGTCGCTTCTTTATTTCATACAGTTTGTTAACAGCTTTAGTGGACTGCGCAAGTGTTGCAACACCATATATGGTATCGGTAGGGAGGGCTATTACATTTCCTCCTTTTAGGGACGTGACAGCAACATTCAGAATGCTTTGCCGTGCTGAGTCATTGTCTAATAATATATTAAGAAATAAAGTCAAACAAGAAATAAAATGGTGTTCAATGAAACACTAAATTATGAAAAAAGGAGAAGAGAAGGCTTGAATTCTAAGTCCCAATATCCAAATACAATTCTCCACACTGATCTCCATAAATTTCCTTAAAGAATTAGTTGAGAGAATTTGGTAAAAGATCAAAACATTTTTCCTGTTGGTGATGATTTCATTACATTGTAATTCTCCCAGCCTTTTCTTTGAATTATGTATTGATAATATTGAGAGAAAAATGATGTTGGTCACCCTGGCAGAATAACTGACCACTTGTTGGAATGCTTTAAAGAATGATCAAAGCATAACAGTCTTAATAAAGTATAAAATAGGCAGCTTTTGTCACTTACTGCACTTTTCACAAACATGCGAACTCTAAAGTTCAAAAGCCGCCTTCACAGTTGCGTTTTTTACTGCCGTCAATCATAATTATGATAACAAGCAACGAACCTTGAAACACAGAAACACACAAAACGGATCGAAATCCACCAATCACAAATCACAAACCAAGACCTTCTGAACCTGTTAAAGTAAAGTTTTGTTTCCTAAGAGGTCTGTTAAGATGATTGACGGCAGCGAAAAATGCAATCGTCAGTTGGCTTTTGAACTTCAGAATTCGCATGTTTGTGAAAAGCGCAGTAAAGAGAGGTAAATAAGTGGCCTCAGTAGTTCTAATAGTTTCGCTCGCTTTATGACAAAAAAAAAAAACATAACTTATATATAACAAAAAACTACAGTTTGCAGTAATAGAATAGTCGGCTTGGTGTTAGGAATTAGGAACTTTCCACTTCAGAGTCCCATTAGTATAAAATGGAGAATTCATAAAAACAGAAGAATATATCCTTCTGATAAAACTTATTTAAAAAGCACTGAACCAAACTAAACTTATTACAGCCGGTTTCGTCACACAGTAATAAAAAAGCATATCTCTAAGCACACGTAATCGAAATTCCCTAGTAAGCTAAATAAACTTACATTTAAATCTTACACCTCCTTAACTCAAGTTCCTGATAAAATTATCGAGCTTCAATCTTTTCGGTTGCTTACCTTGCGACGGGCTTTGCTTTACTGGTGAAAGCTTTAGAATTTGTACGGTGGAATTCATTGTGTTCGTTGCTCTAGACTTGCAGAGAATCACAGATACATAGTTTTGAAATGAAAGAATGAAAACCGAGGGTTATGAGATTGCCTTAACAGCAAAAACCCCAAAGATTTCTTATTGCACCACGATGTTGTGGATTGCACGTGTGCCCGCCATTTTGTTCCGACACTCTACCGAGGGAGATTGGTAACGAATGCCTGTGGTACCACAGGTTTCTCAGTAAGTTTGTAGCCTGCGCGAGCATAGCGCGAGCAGGCTCACTTCTGCGAGTTCTAACTGCGAGTTTGGGAAAAATTTTTGGCGGCTCCCAATGGGCAGAGGAAAAGGGACCAAGAGAGAATAAGGAGCGAAACATGTTTAAAATTAGGGAGCTTAAACAAAGACTATTTAAGGAATTTTCCAGCAATACAAATTTGGTAACCTCAAGGCATATTTTTAAAAAGGTGAAAGGCCTTACTTCAGGTTAGCACCCGTTGAAGTTTTGCCGTGTATGTTTTTCAAGGCAACGCGTAGTCTTCTAACAATCGAAAACAAATGAAGGATGGTTTTAAACTGGAAGTAACAGTTAATTCAGCGATGTTGATGGCAACGTGATTTACTTCTCAGAACCACCCTATTTCTTAATAAGGAACTGAAGTTAATTAGTACAAACAACGCAGTAGATTTGTCATTGCGCTAGGCTGGTTCCCAGTTCTTAGGCACAGATCCGAGTGATAATGTAATAGAAAATCCCAAAAGACTGGGTGAGGGCTCTCATTCATGGTTACTACATACTGCTTGGATCAGAATTAGCTAGTAATTTCGAGGATGGGCTATTTAACAAATCGACCACAATTTTCCATGGTCTACACTCTTATACACCATAGAAATGACGTCATAAAATGTTTAAAACTCAAGTGGAACCACGAGCCGCAGGCGAGTGGTTTCACTGCAAAGTCCTAGCCCTCTTTCAATTAGAAATACAGAGAAGGGGAAGCGAAGCACATTATAACGATTTTATTCCAAAAGCAGTATTTCATAACGGCGTCTCTGAAAATATCATTTGTTTTTCTGGAGGAAGTAATATATTATTACAATGATAAAAATTTCCTCGAGATAGAGCCAAAAATTTTCATTATTAAAAGTTGCATATATAATTTTTTTTATAAAAGTTCTTAAACTAGACTCGTTATTCTGACAAGTCGGAGTTCTTCGGCGCATGCACCAATATAAATACGAAGAAAAATTTCTTCAGTTTTCTATAATATATTTCGTAGGAAATTCTATAAAATGCCAGATAAAACGGCGTGACTTTTCCATTAGTCTAAGTTATTCATGAACTTCGGGTAGCGGAATCTCTAGCCATAATCACATTTAGGCCAGGTTTACAGAAGGGGAGAATTTCCCAGGTTTATTGCATTAAGAGTATTAGGGTTGGCAGGGCACCGTTTAAACTGATTATAAATCTGAGGACATTCATTCGAATGCTAAGTATCACTTGAAATTCAGGATTCAAAATCTCCTAAAAAGCGACCAAACCGAGGTCCACCGAGGCGTTTTTATTTCGGATCCTAACATCTGCGCCTGAACAGCTAAAAAAATCTGGTGCCAGCGAAATGTTCCGGATTCGTGAAAAAATTCTTCCATGGAGGACCCTTGGTCCCCCTTCTCCTAGTACGTCGCTTTGTATGAATAAAGTCTATCGTGTTCTGTATAGCGAGTTTTAAAACATCCAACAAAAAAAGCAAACGAAGGGGTACTTACCATTTACACAACAAATCAGTTGAATATCTTCAGTATAAACATACCAAGATTAAATTTGAATTTATGAGAGAAGAATCCTCTGCAAGGTTTTGCCTAATCAGCTTAAAACACTAAAAAAGAAAGAAAAACTGCAGTGTTAAAAAAAGTGCCTATATTTTATGACGCTTTTCAAACGGAATGGCGCGAATCGTTGGATTTTCCAATGGCCATTTCCGGTTTTCACGTGCAAATGGTAATTACTCCCAGATATCCGCCTCGTAGAGGCGTCACCGTCATAGGAGTAGGGGTGGTAAGAAACTTGGAAACATTATACGTTTTTGGGAAACTGCCCACCTACCCCTCCCTTAAGCCAATCTTAACACTTGCTTCTCACTTAGGGCAAAATGTTGGCTTAGGGGAGTGGTAGGTGGGCAGTATAACGATGGTGGGTAAAGAGTAGGGACTCAGGCCCAAACTCGAGTGACCCCGCCACCAATATGTTAGGGATCTTCCAATAAACCCGTATCAGTATCATCTCAGAAACTCTCCGAGTATTTGGTCAAGATGGTAAGCTTTTCTTGTGTTCTTCACCTGTTTGTGTGGTTTGCCCTTGTTCACTACTATGAATAGTTTTTGTTCCATTGGCAACTGCAGGACAGCAGTTTGCACTCATGAACAGTTAAGTGTAGTCCTTTACAGAATATTACAAGTTAAACCGCTCCCAGTGGAGCGAATCATAAGCTACAATCATGGACAAAAGTCTTGGGACACTTTTGCGTTTCTGGGGCGTTTTCCAATTCACACAGGTCCAACGCCTCCTCTCACCCCACAAACAATGTTGGACGCGTGTATCCAGAATTTTTTCCGAGTTTCATCCTTGTATAGGGTGGGGGGGAGGGAGAACTGCAAGAGAATTTCGAAAAGGATGCACTGTTTTAAGAGGGAACCGAGAAATGACAGAAAAATATGAATATCGCAGTACTGTCCCAAGGACTTTTGCCCAGGATTGTAGGTTGTTTTATCGTATATAAGCTGCTGTCGCGCGGTAGATCGAGCATGGTACGCGCGTTTGCCTCTCTTGACAACCTTTTTCTATTCAGATACCGGCTCCGCGACTGCGACATTAAAAAAAGAAACTTTATAACCCTGGAACTGGCAAATAAAAATAGCCTTGTTTATTTTTGGTTTCCTCTCAGGCCTCTCTAACAAACATTGCAGTCCGTTCATCGGATACGGCATGCAACAATCCGTGTCTTCATCAAGAGAGAATAATCATTCTCACTTGGTTAGCCTGTGAGCAAGCTCTCCTATTTGGGCAAGGGAAGCGAGCCTCGCGAGAACGCGCAAGCGAGGGGCAAGGAAAGAGCCAATTGCATTTCCCTTCGTCTGGGCGAAGGACAAATGAAATTTTATGAGACATCGTTGCAAGCTCTCCTTTCCTCTGCCCCTCGCGGCTTCGCCGCTCGTTCGCGCGTTCTCGCGAGACTCGTTTCACTCACCCAAATAGGAGAGCTTGCTCGCAGGCTATCTCTTGGTCTTCATGCATCGCGTCATTACAAATGGATCTACGGAGCACTGACAATTTTTAACGGTTTTGGCTGCATTTTTAACAACTGCCATTTTGATACTTGTACAATATCAAAAAACAGTTTTTTCGGCCCTTCGGGCCTCAGTTTGGTCTAAAAATAAGGAGGGAGCGGGCCCCTCGGGCTCCTTCCCTGGATCCGCTCACTGAATAATGCATATTTTTTAGTTGCTCTTCTGAGGAGAACAAAATAAAAACTGATATAGATGGCAATTGCGAGTAATTATTCTGAAAAGTACGTCTGAAGGCAGGTGTAGTGCACTGAAACCATCAACTGACCTTGTAAGACCAACGAATTCTTCCTTCGCTGAATTGCGCAGTATCTGTAGTATACGGTGTTCTTTATTTTACTATCTTGCACTTCTGTTTTACTTGGCATACTTTCATCACACATTTTCAGAACAAATAATGTTTTAACGGAACCTCTTAGGGAGGCAAGTAAATAAAATAGAATTTAACGATACGGCGATCTCGTGTTTTATTAATTGGTGCTCGAATGATGGACCGCGGCGAAATAATCATTGTAATGTGTCGATTAAATAAAGGTTGATTTGTGGTGGGCTGCTGAGTGCAAGCCAAGTTTAAATTAACAAAAAAGTTGCCGAATTCAGCAATATTTTGTTAACCATGGGTGGTATACAAAGTAATGGGAACAAAACTTATGAGAAAGACAATTACTGTATTTGAGGCTTTTCATTTAAATGTTTCGCAAAATAAGGTGGGTCGCCAGACCGAAATAAGTCGAGGTAAGAATACTCTTCGCTTGACTGCGTTGCAGCCGGCCCACTCATCGTCCAGACCATTGGTATAGGCGCTGTAAACAGGCGGTTTAGAGTGTCTGCGACGCAGGTTAATTCTTCACCGGAGTAACCTGCAAGCCGAACTGATATTTTCCAAATATATGTTTTTGCAGCTTCGTCAGAGGAGACATCCATGAAGTAAAGCAATTTGTGAAAGGTTAGTTATATACAGCCAACTCTCGCCTTGCGGACACCCCGCTATAACGAACACCTACTTAAAACGTACATTAGCTTATAAATCCACGGCAAAAACAAATTACAGACGTTTGACTGAAATAAACTACATTAACTTGAGGTCCCTACAGTGTCCACTATAAAGGGACTTGACTTTATACTAACGAAGAACGACAGTGGACCTTCAGATCTTTTCATGTAGCAGATGTAGGTTGTTTCAAGTAGACTGTTGTTTCTCTCCTCCTTACTATGTTAATGAAAAGTGTTTGAATACAAGAATTGGCCGAGCTGAAAATAACTTGGGTCCTCTTCATATATTCATCAGTGAGAAATACGTGATAGTTTGCACGAACGTAGAAAAACTATGACTTTGAAAGTTCCTCTTTGACCACTCGCTGTTCGGCATCAAAAGTTTTTTTTGGATAAAAACCTTAGAGCCTAGTTTCTTAAAAATACAATGAAAGCTCGATCTAACGAAGTCGTCGGCAAAACGAACAATCAGTTTTTTTCCCCAGTAAAGCCTGGCTCTTATATGCTGCTGATGTATCTGCGAAGTAACCGCTGGTACCACCTGGGCTACTTCTCGGACGAATGAGAATGTACGCCGCTGGCACCTGGAGCCATCGCAGAACTTTACTGCCGGCATGCCTGCGAAGTTGAACTTGAGACAACTTCGCACTTCACAAGACTGGGATGACCAATGCTGCCGGCCACCTCTGTTCTCATTTCGGAACAGTACCCCTGGCAGTACCGGCGGTCATGTCGCAGGTGCATCGGCGGCATATGAGAACCAGGCTTAACAGGAAAATAACGGAATCTCGTTATAGCGAACACATCAGTTTCGAAGCTGAGTTTTCACCTCAAAATTAATGACATGGCTCAAACAACACTTGAAATATTTTAGAAACAAGAAATGTCACCGCTTACAAAATTTCGGCGGGAATAAGATTGCAGGGCACGATGAGAAGATTGGGTGTAATACCGTCTAACATATACAATGGTTTTTCTGTATTTTGATTGGCTATATTTTGTATGGTCTGGTATAAAAGAAGGTTTAAGATAAACGATGCAGTATCTTTTCCGATCTCAATGTGGATATTTCCTGGTCTTAGAAGGGTTAAATGGGTGTCATTTTCATGAAACTCTGAATCAAGAAACTCTAAATGATCATTTATTTCTTATGACTCAGGTGAACGAGTGGGTCGAGTGCCGACGTTATTAGCTTAAGTGTATACCACCCCAAATTAGTTTTTGACTAGAATAAAAATAGAAAAGTTGTAATAAACGATGCCGCAGATTGTTTTTTGGATTAATCTGAATTTTTTACCAATTCAAATTCGTCCTCGTATGTTCAAGATGTCGATAAAACGCGAAATTAGACGATTAGCGTCGTTTAGTCGTGCAGTGACGGCAAAGAAATGTACAAAAAGGCCTGATGCAAGTGCGAAGTTGTTGTTTTGCTAACCTAAACGCTACGCTCTAGCAGCTCTACGCTTTGCCCTTGACTAGCAGTCGCAGCGGGGAGGAGCTAAGAACAATGTCTCAAAATACGTCACTCGACCCCGGGCAATATCTACTCGGCCTTCTGACCAAAATCGGCGAAAAAAGGCAAATTTAATACTTTTCAACCATGCATGGAGACCGCTGGTTTCATTTGATTCACGCAAATCATACCTCATTTTAAAGCCAAAAGTAGGTAGAATTCGTCATTTTTTTCTTATTTGGGGTGATATGCACTTTAAATATTCAGCTGAAAATTAAATATTTATTTCCCTCAGCTTTTAGTAAACCAATTCATCCTAATCTCCCCTCACGCCCCGCTGATATTTCCATAGGTGAAACAAGGCTTTACACTTCAGCTTTCAATTTGGGACGGTATCTGAAAACTGACTTTAAGTTGAGGTGAGTGTCTTATGAGGAATTGTTGTTAACGTATCTTCATTACTGATATTTATATAAAAAGGAACTAACATTAATCTTCTTTGTTCACGTCCTTGTTTTTCTTTTCTAACCAACCAAACTTTATTCGAATGTTTCTTCAGGTACACGAGCAACAGAAAGAAAAAAAAAACAATTAAAAGTGTGAAGCTTAAAGAAAACAAGCCATGATACTTTCTTCATTCGAGTGCATCACCTGGTTTGCTGTAATCCTTACGGTGTCTGTTGCTATAGTAACAGTGAACCTTCTATCAATCGTTCTTTTTATAAAAAAACCGCAGTCTTCGCACTCGTGCCATGTACCTAGTTGTAAACCTGACCGTAGCTGATATTTTTGTCGGAGGATTTTCTAACTTTTATCTATTTGATTACCTACTCACATACAGATGCGATATTGCGAAAATGAACTTATCCCCGCAACTGTCAAAAATAATTGTCTTTTTCTACTTTTGGTTTCCTCTGACTGCTCTTACAAACCTTGCAGTAATTTCATTAAATCGGATGCATGCAACAATTCGTCCCTTGAAACATCGTCTCATCAAAAATTGGGTCAGCGGGGTAACAATTGCAGGTGTCTGGGTTTTAGCCACAATATTTTCAAGTGCCATTTTAATACTTAATAACTATGGGAAAGAAAGGTCATATCATTTTTACGTATGGCAATCATACTGTTGTTTGAGTCTATTTGTTATCTGTGTTTCTTACTCTTGCATTGTTCTTAAGTTTTTGTGTGGAGCCCATCCTCCGCACCATGGTGCAGCCAGCAGACAAAGGAAATTGACCATAACATTATTCATAATGACCATCGTATCTTTACTGATGTGGCTACCATTTGCGGTTGCTAGTTTTCTTTATTTTCAATCCAGTTTGAAATTTCTTTCTCTCCAGGAATCATTTCGTTTGGAGTATTCTTTAAAGATTCTATATTTTATGAACTCGCTTGTCAATCCCATCGTTTACGCGATAAGAATGCCAGAGTTCAGGAAAGCTCTCTTGTTGTTATTCAAATGTCAACAACGACGAAATAACAATATTATTCCTCTTCATGCCCTTTAATGTACTCTGTTAAACACTTTTTAATGTCCGTATACCTTAAATGCAAGGCACATTAGAAGTAAGATTCGCCCTCTTAAAAAAGGTGGAGCTCATTAATGCGTACTTTTATTGCCAACTTAAGTTCGATAAAAAGATCGTAAATATTTGTTGTGTGGTTAAATTTTTTCCTTGGTTTAAATTTTATTTTCCTTTGTTTAAAACTTTGAGTATCAATCATACATTATCATACCCCAAAACGACGGAAAATAAAATTTAAACCAATAATAAAATATTGAACCACAACATATGCATGGTATCATGTCAGATACTATAATTAAATGTAGGCTAGTTTCGTTATCATTTCTTCACGTTTAAAAATATAACAGGAATCGTTTTCATTTCTTATCTAGGAATTAGTCATATTACACAAAGCTTCAATGTAAGTACTTTTTTTTAACTTTTTGAATTAGTACTACGATTGTGGTCATTAGCAAACTGTATCAGTATGTATAAATAGTAGAGCGCTAAGCAGAGGTGTTTACTTTATGCCTTAATTTGTTATTTTACATTGTGATATCTACTTAATCTGGCTTGCTTTTACGGTAAAATTCCTGTACCAGTAATATTTGCTTATTTACAGAATTCAATAAAGTTAGTTTTTAAACATGATTTCTTTACGTTGTTATCCTTGGCTTGTAGATCACCAGGAATGGGGGGAAAAACGCTAAAATGGGAACGAGAGACTTGTCTTAATCAAGTTCGGAAAATGTCAGTAAAAGACTTTGGTTTTCTGCAACAAAGTGCTTTTTTCCACGCAAATTTTACCAGAAAATTTGTAAGAAGGTTGTTTTTCCTCGTCTTATGGTCAACGGTATTTGTGTATCGCGTGTCAGACTTGTTTAAGGCTTAGGCTGAAAAACACGTTGCAGTACGCGTTTTAAAAGCATGCTGCAAGATGTTTGTATTTAGTAAAAGATCATCGATTACTACTTCCTTTTCTTTCATTAAACAGTAGTAAGGGATGAAAATCAAAGAAAGACTCCTTTTAACGCGATAGCAACACATGAATACGAAACAATTTCAGGTCAGTGTCTGTTCAAAAGACGAGTTGTTTTATAGTGCACTTTGATTTGCAGCACTTTTCACTCCTTGGTTCGATGGGTTTTCTAAACTTATCCTTTGAGGGTATTTGCTCAGAAAATACATAGGTTATTAGATGACGAGTGACTCTCTAAGGCTCAAAGTGATTTTATTGACTGACTTTATCGCTCACATGAGATGAAGAGCACAAAACAGGAAACCCAGCGTCGGCTCTCTCCCAAATGCTCGACTGAAGCTTGACTTGGTTTCAGTCGTATAAAACTGAATTCTAATAGATTCATAATCTAAGAAATGAGTTCGGCAACGCATTAGCACAACTTCTTAACAAATTTAAAGGTGCGGTCAATCTAATCAATCTAAAGATAGACAAGCCTGTGAAAACTTTGTGGCACATTGGCCAAATGATATTGCAGTGTCAGGTTTTTCAAATCATCAACATTCCGATGTTGAAAACCCTCGTCAATTCAAGTCTTACTTGTAGTAAAACGGTTGTTACTGCTGCCTCTCATATCAAAAACATAAATTCCAGAATCGTGTAAATTCCAGTTTCCCCTCTCGGGTAACCAAAAGTAAAACTCGTCTGGTGGCAGTTCCTTGGCCTAAGTAACAACGAAACTTAGTAAACTCAAAAAATCTCTTCATATTACGTTTGGTCTTGTCCAGCCGCCAAAATACCGACACTTCGCTCACCAAACAGACCACAAATATACTTTCCTTGCGAGGGGAATATTTGTATGTCAAAAGATACCGTAAAATATCGAAAATAAGCCCGTTCTTGTATAAGCCCCTCCAAATATAAGCCTCCCAAACTCGTAACGCAAAAAACCCTCCGTTAAATCACCCCTCCAAATATAAGCCCCCCGGGGGCTTGTACTTGGAAAATTGCCCTCAAATACAAAGTAAAAAAAAATTTACTTCCAACTATAAGGTTAGCCCAATCGATTTCGAAACGCAAATTTCCTTCCATAGATAAGCCCCTCCGAGTATAAGCCCCTCCAAAAATAAGCTCCTCAAAATATAAGCCCCCCGGGGGGCTTGTACTTGGAAAATTGCCCTTAAATACAAAGTAAAACAAAGCCAAAACGGTAAATTTACTTCCAACTATAAGGCAAGCCCAATGGATTTTGAAACGCAAATTTCCCTCCGTAGGTAAGCCTCTCCGAATATAAGCCCCTCCAAAAATAATCCCCTCAAAAAGGGCCTTTGAAAAATATAAGCCCCGGTGCTTATTTTCGGAATTTTACGGTAATAGTTAATACCAATAATATCTATGAGATGAATAAAGAAAGACTCATGTTTCCAGGGGTAATGTATGTGAAAGATCGTAGTAATCGTATTGTTACAACCGTGGGACCAAAAAACAAGCTTGAATCGCCGATAGAATTCAAACTTTATCTACGAAACGTCAAACACAGTTGGGGAAGGGTACTGTACACTGAGCGACAGAGAGACTTCAGAATAACAAGGCCATTTACTGGATTCATGTGTGACTGGACCGGTTGAGCGCTTGTATCATCAGTAATTTTGAGCCCGAGAGTGCTGTGAAATGTTCTACCTTTCTTCATTTATCCGACCACAGAGAACGCTGGCAGTAATGTCTAGCCAGTGTATGGTTGCTTTCTTTCAATTATGAAAATACAGAAAAGAAGAGGAACCGAAGCACATTATAACAGTTTTATTCCAAAAGCAGTATTTCATAACGGCGTCTCTGAAAATATCATTTGTTTTTCTGAAGGAAGGAATATATTATTATAATGATAAAAATTTCCTCGAGATGGAGACAAAAATTTTCATTGTTGCAACTTGCATATTAATTGTTTTTAAAATAAAATCAGGATTTTAAAAGTTCTTAAACTAGCCTCGTAACTTTGACTAGTCGAAGTTCTTCGGCGCATGAACCCTTATAAATACGAAAAAAAATTTCTTCAGTTTTCTATAATATCTTTCGCAAGAAATTTTATAAAATTCCAGATAAAACGGTGTGACTTTTCCGTTACTCTATGGACCTAGCAGTTTATATAGAGGTGGGGGACCCCACATAGGTGAGGTAACATGTGGCAGGTCAATCCACCTATCATGTCATGATGTAATCAAATTGAACTGAGAGATTATATGGACCGAGGTGGGTTACCTCACCTACCCAGGGTCCCCCACCTCCATGTAAACAGGCCCTAAGTTATTCATGATCCTACAGTAGCAGGATCCCTAGCCATAATCATATTTAGGCCAGGTTTACACAAGATCGAGGAGAACTTCCCAGATTTATTGTATTAAGAGTATTGGGGTTGGCAGGCAACGTTTACACTGGTTATAAATCTGAGAACATTCATTCGAATGCTATGTATCACTTGACTTTCCGGATTCAAAATCTCCTAAAAAGTGACCAAACCGAGGTCCACCGAGGCGTAGGGGTAGTAAGAAACTTTGGAACATTATACGTTTCTGGGAAACTGCCCACCTACCCCTCCCTTACGTCAACGTTAACACTTGCTTCTCACTTAGGGCAAAATTTTGGCTTAGGGGAGTGGTAGTTGGGCAGTATAACGATTCGAAATTTGTCAGTATGGTCATAACATTGGAACCACTAGAATTATCCGTAATAGAAATGAAAAGTAGCATTGTAGGGGGGTCCCTAAGGAAAGATTCGACTACGTATAATTATGTCATGCTATTGTATATCCACCACGTAGCAATTCAAATGATTTCCTCTAAAGAATCGCGCCTTGTACGTCAATCACCTGCAGTCTCTTGAGAAGAGTCACACGTGGTATCATGTAAGTGACGTTGTAAATTCTTGGCGTCTTCGTGTCTTGACAAAGAATCACTCTTCGCTATCAATGGGACAGTGTCTTCATTAGTTCCCTTCCTTC